CTGCCCCCCCCCCTCCATTGAATTCAAACGTATTTGAACTATGAGCAGTTTCTGGTACTTTGGCTTTTCTGTGTCTTTTCTGTGATGTCACCAATGGCAGTAATTGCCATCTTTTGACTCATGTGGTCTTTACTCTTTGACACAGCTTGCTCCCGAGACCAAGGCTGTCATCCACTGGATTATGGACATTCCCTTTGTGCTCTCCGCCAATCTGCATGGAGGAGACCTTGTGGCTAATTACCCATATGATGAGACGAGGAGTGGTAGGTAGTTCTTCTTCTCCAAGAGGCGTAAGGTCTGCAGGTTCAAGTAAAGAGTTACAGCAACATTTCTTTACTATTGCTGTTGTTTGTTCTTTAAAACAAAATCCTACTCCACAGTCTGAGATGGCCTTGAATTTGCACTGTCCCTGCTTCAGTCTCCCTGGCATTGGAATAGGTGTGTGCCGCTTTGTCCCATACTCTACTAGGGAACCAGCCAATATAAATGCTCAAATTTATAAGCATCCCCAGATATTTCATGTGATACCGACTTAGAGAGGTAAGCAGTAGAATTGGCTTGCAATGCTCTGTTTTTTTTTTTTGTTTTGTTTTTTTTTTTTTTTTGTTTTTTTTTTTTGTTTTAGATGAAGGACAACAGGAGCTAACTAACTCTTACAGAAGAGAAGGGAGAAAATGGAAGTCCTTTTGGGATCCTGTATCAGATAACCTACATATCAAATATTTACATTACAACTCATCACAGTAGCAAAATTACAGTTATGAAGTAGCAAACAAAATAATTTGATTTTCTTGGGGGGTCACCACAGCATGAGGAACTGTATTAAAGGGTCATAGCATGGGAAGGTTGAGAACTGGTGTACAGTCAGTTCTGGCCTCCAGAAAGTGGATCACATACAGACATTGGATAGATTCATGTACAACATGGCTTATAAATGGAGCAGCCTCTGATGCTTCAGACTGCTGTGGGAATCCTGACACCTATAGTGCTCTCACCTTTATGGCCCTGGGTCCTCTTCTGCTAGTGTCAGGGAGGGGAAGAGGTGCCTTGACTTTTCTCTAATGTGTTTCAGTTAAGCCTTAGCCAAAGCAAGAGAGAGAGAGAGAGAGAGAGAGAGAGAGAGAGAGAGAGAGTCCCGAATTGACCCTTTCCCGGAGAACTCAGAAGGGTAAGATCTTTGTACAGGGTGGAGTTTTAGGGACTGAAAACTCAGATTTGAAGAAAGTCAGATTAGAAAGCACTATTAGATATACTTTGAGATTCTGTGGTTGCCGTTACCTGGGCAACTTGTCAGCCACGTATATTTTATAACACATGAGTGAGAATACAGGGTATGAAAAGAAACCTTTTCTATAATACACACAGGGAAAGTTTAGAAACACCTGAAGTTAAATGCTGGATGTTTGTGCATCAGTACTTAATAATGCTTATAAAACTGCTGATGATGAATTTTTAAAATTTCTTTTTAATTTCTTTTTGAGATAGGGTCTTACATAGCCCACGTAGGCCCAGAACTCATTGTGCTGCCAAGGATGGGCTGAAACTAGTGATCCTTTTGCCACTATCTCCTAAGTCCCGGTGTCACAGGCACTGTGCCCTACTGGCTTATTAAATTAGACAATTTTAATAATGGAAATATCCTATCTTCTCAGGTCCAGCCTACTGTGGCCTCATCTCCTATTCTTGTGAGGCTTTCAGTAGGGTAAGAACTCTATCTACTTTCTCATCCAAGTACTAACCAGACCCAACTCTGCTTAGTCTCTGAGGCAGGGGTATTTAGAGTGGTATGGCCATAAACCATGCTGCCTAATTTCTATATTTTCCTGTTAGGGGTGAAAATCATAGAACCTAAAAACTAAGTATATTTGACATTTTAACTTTCACCTTTCCTGAAAACTTTCACAGCTTTTTTTTTGGGGGGGGGCGGAGGCGGAGGCGGATTTCCAACACAGGGTTTCTCTGTGTAGCTTTGGAGGCTGTGCTGGAACTAGCTCTTGTACACCAGGCTTGTCTTGCACTCACAGAGATCCTCCTGCCTCTACCTTCTGAGTGCTGGGAGTAAAGGCCCACCACTTCCCATCTAGGCTTCTAAAGGCTGCATCAGCAGGAGCTTAACATTGAAGGCCTCTTAAGAAAACAAGCCATGGCTGCTCTTCCAGAGGTCCTGAGTTCAATTCCCAGCAACCACATGGTGGCTCACAACCATCTGTTATGAGATCTGGTGCCCTCTTCTGGTGTGCAGATATACATGAAAGCAGAATGTTGTATACATAATAAATAAATAAAATATTTTAAAAAAGAGAAAGAAAACAAGCAGTGTTCTCTGTCACTGTTCGTTTCTCTCATCTTGTGTTTTCATTTTCTAGGTACCGCTCATGAGTACAGTTCCTGTCCCGATGATGCAATATTCCAAAGCTTGGCTCGAGCATACTCCTCTTTCAACCCAGTCATGTCTAACCCCAATAGAACTCCCTGTCGAAAGAACGACGATGACAGTAGTTTTGTAGATGGAACGACCAATGGTGGTGCATGGTACAGTGTACCGGGTGGTGAGTTTCCCTTTTCCTCTCTGATTGTGCGACCTTGGCTTCCTTTATTCACCTTGTACAGTCAGAAAGCAATTCCCATCTGTAGAATTGTCATTGCTCCTCAGTCGTTAAAAAATAGATGGAACTTACAGCTGTCTCAGCAAAGTATTGTTATGTATTAGTTTGTTTTTATTGCTTTAAAAATCAAGGTGCTAATGTCTGAAGGAGTACACTGGAAGAACAGAAACTGAATGTTGGTAACTGACCACTTTTCAAGTTCAGCCTTCTTCAGTAAGAGTGCATTCTTATAGTAGGCGAGCTATGCCTTTCATTGTAAGCAAATGTATTAGAGACTACGCAATAGTCTTTAGCAGACCTTGTGCAGTGGTTTGAATGAGAATGGCCTCCATAAGCTCATACACTTGAATGCTTGTTCTCCAGTTTATGGGACTGTTGGGGCACACCTTCCCCCACAGCTGAGGCAGCACCTGGTTTCCTCTGGACTGCTGCAGACTCTGCAGAAGTTGTATTTGCTGAATTTTCCCAGCCACTAGGAGATGTGTAATTTCACCAAGAGATAAAGAGCAAAATATAAAGTAATTGGTAGTAACATTCTATATGACTCACCTGGTAACAAAACGGGGGGGGGGGAAGAGAGGGGAGAGGGGGAGGGAGAGAGAAAGAGAGGGAGAGAGTGAGGGAGAGAGAGAGAGAATTTAACTTCTGATTCATTATGCTGTAAGAAAACATTCATGTTTTCTATGGTACATGTTTCTTCTGTTTTTACTCATATTTTGTATTTGGGAAGATATGATCTGGTACCCCCCTCCCCAAACCCCATAAGTTGAGAAGATTATCTGTGTGAGCTTTAGGATTTAGAGTACATCAAATACATCTAGTGGAGAGTAATATATCTTCATTTTATATTAGAAAACAATTTTGCACTTTGACCCAAGGTACTGGTTTTATTCACAATCTAGAGAGTTGCTATAACCTAGCTTCACCTGAGAAGAGAACCTCAAAGAAGGGACTATCTAGATCTCATTGGCCTGGAGGCATGTCCGTGGGGATTGTCTTGATTGTTAATTGATGTAGAAGATCCAGAGTCCTGAGCTAGGCGAGATGGAAGAAAACTAAGTGACAGCCAGTGGGCATCAAGGGTGGATTCATTTAGGTTTAAAAAGAATTCTTCAGTAATTTCTTTGAAACAAACTTACTAAGCAAGCAGTGTATCACTGGCAGTATATGAACCAAAATGCATTAGTAAAGCACTGGTAACATAGTAAACATAGCAATGCATTAGCCAATCATTATGCCCCACAGTAACAGCCAAAGAAAGCTTGGCAGATCTTTAGCTCCCTGTCGTAGTTGTATTTCTATTGCAGTGACAAACACATGAACCAAAAACAGCATAGGGGAAGGAGAGTCTATTTGGCTTTCAATTCCAGGTTACAGCCCACCAATGTGGGGAGAACAGGAGGGATCTTAAGCATCTCTTTCCCAGTCAGGAGCAGAGGGATGCTTCTAGCCATGGCCAGATGCTCTCTGTAAAGGGTCCACATTACAACTGTCAGGAAGGCCATCTCTGTTAGAGGGTCATCTTGGGCTGTTCTATTGTTTCTGGGCTGCCAAAAAGGATTGGAGGTATGACCTCTCTAGTCTTGTAGCCATTGTCAGCCATTCTCCAGGAAGTGGGGATGGGTTGGGAGCAATTGTCAACTCCTAGCTGTCAACACGGTAATTTGAAGGTCGGTACTCTGGTTCCAGGAAAGCAATATGGTAGGCAACAACTTCCTTAGTGAATCTGAATGATAATCTAATTAAAATTATTCTGAGTATCAAATCTTCTCTGTGATTTAGATTGCAGTATACTTAACGTTATGTCTAATACAAAGTAGATGTTCCATGTTTATTGAATTAATATATGATGCTATATTTCATATCCTATAGATGTGTGATATATATGTATACATATATGTATATATGTATATCTTACATATCATATACTAGGAATGTACATATAGGTATGTATATATATATGTATATATATTATATATATATATCTTAAATACCATATAATAGGAGTCCTAATCCCTCAGGAATACACTTTGATTTTGTTGGGTTTAGGAAGGAATAGCATGTCATGGGACTCACCCAGTTCCTGCTCCATAGGAAGGCAGCTTAGAGGGATGCACATTTCTTTAATAGGTCACTAAGCTTGTCTTTCCTGAAGTCTATCAAGCACTGTGCAATGTGGATGACATCTGCTTTTGGTGGATGCATTAAGCTAAATGATCATTTAAGATACAAGGGTTCGTGCTTTCAAAACAAGAGTCCCCCAAGCATGTTTTTGGTTCCCCCATGGGAGGACATTTCTGTGCAGGTTCTTGTGAGTCAGCCTTTGACTTAAGCTCTTAGATGATCAGGACAGCATGCGTAGAGTTGTCACTGTGTGTACATACTCACTCTCGGTTTGGTGATTGTGCAGGGATGCAAGACTTCAATTACCTGAGCAGCAACTGCTTCGAGATCACTGTGGAGCTCAGCTGTGAGAAGTTCCCACCTGAAGAGACTCTCCAAAGCTATTGGGAAGACAACAAAAACTCCCTCATCAGCTACCTGGAGCAGGTAAACCCTGTATCTGGTCTTTAACAGAGTAGTATGTTAGACCCATAAAGGGGGTTCTGTTCAGGCAGGTTCATCTGAGTGCAGAGGCCACTATGGGAAATAGGTATCTGTAGTGTCTCAATTAGATGTTCATTTGCCATAGGTTCATGACTTCTCACTGAGAACTGATACACTGGAGAACTGTGAGATGAGACATCTTTGTTTCCTTTATTCATACTGTGCCAAGCAAGGAAAAGCTTAAGACACTCACTTAGCCGATCATCTTGGGCCTTTTGCAGTGTCCCAGGCAGGGTTAGGCTATGAGCAAGGTGAATGAGTCATGCAGGTATAGGACTAGTGCCTGAGTGAGTCTCCTGGATTTTGTGCTCCAAATGCTTCACTCATCTCTCACTAGACTCAACTGCATCTCAGGTGATAATTTACTGAGACCTTAGTACTTTTCAGGCATTGTTCTGAATATCTTACATGTAATAATTATGTAATGAATCCTTGTAGCAATTCTGTGAATCATGTGAGATCATAACTTCCACCCTCATCTGTGAATTAGAGCAAGAATTTGATATTAAAGAGGTCGATCAATTTTGCTAGGTTATGTACTAAAGACATCCAGGAAGTCTTGTTCTAGAGTTGTCTTGCTGTAACTGTCTCTCAAGACAAACATTTTTATCACAGTCACCTACATATCCATTGCAATATGGGGCTACAGAATTTCAGGGTATCTCAAGTCTGTCAAAATGAAATTAGTTACCTACTCAGGCTGGTCCTAGTGTTTCTATCCTTTCAATAGCATATGTGGATGCTGGTACCAGGGAGTAATAGTGGACAGACCAAAGGACATCACCCCTTGCTCACAGTGACTTAACTGTATTCAAATTCTATTCTCTATGTGGCCATTTTCACCTGCAGTCCACTAGAATGATGTTTATTTCGCACACCCCAGACAGTCTAGACTAATCAAACTGATTCAATATAAACAAATGTTCTTAAATAAACATTTAGTTACCGAATTGGATTCATTTCTGTTGCTGTGACTGAATACTCTGATACAAGCAACTTAGGAGAGAAAGAGTTTATTTTATCCCAGAATTTCAGGTCATAGCACATTGTTGTAAGGAAGTCAGGTGGCAGGAATGTGAAACAGCTCCTCATGTCCACAGTCAAGAGCAGAGGGAATGTATGCTTGCATCTGTAGGTAGATCAGACAACTCCTCATGCCCTCAGTCAAGGGCAGAGGAAATGCATGCATGTAGCTCGATTTCTTTACAAATATGGATTCATCTGATGGCAGAAGCAAGCTGAGAACAGAAGGGATGGAATCATGTGGTGCTGTTTCAGGCTATTTGGAAGGAGAATTTGCTCCGATTAGTGCAGTGATGCAAGCTGTGTAGAGACAGGAAGAAGTCTTTATGATAAAAGCACCCAGGCGAGCCATGGGATTCTCCCGATTAGGAATCAAGGGCGAGATGAGCGCTCATGAAGACTGCCAGCAGCTCTCTGCTGGAATTGTTTTCTTGACAATGGTGCTGATTAGGCACTGAACACCTGGGCCTGAGATCTAAGCAAGGCCTATGTTCCCATCTCCTGCCAAGTAGGTGATTAGGTCTAGTTTCCTTGTTGGTGCAGAGGACATCTCCTGCAGAGTTTTAACTGGGATGTTTTCGGGAACTCGAATTGTAAAGCTAATTAGAGCTGATAGCTAGTTTAAAAAAAGCTCCCTCTTCAATAGTGTTGGAGTAGCCTAGTTCTCAAAAATTCTCAAGGAATTTCTCATACTGCTTCATAAAGCACTCAAATCAAAACAGTCTAAGGATCTTGTTAAACAAGGGGTTCCTGTCCTGTCCTGCGGAGAATGACTCCAGTGTGCAAGCAATTTGGGTGACTAAAGCTACAAAGGTGTTTAAATGCGACCTGTACAAACAGACCTTAGGAACCCAGAGCATCTGCCTTTGTATCCTGGGGAATGGAAATGTCCTAAAGTCTAGGGAGAGATTACCACAGAAGGGGACAAGAAAACCAGGAGGGGACAAGGGTAGGAAAACAGCTTCTCCAAGCTTCAGTGAAATCTGAGCTCTGTGGTTTTCTTTGCAAAAACCATAAAATATCTGATAGAGGTTTCTAGTCCGAATTCCTGTCTATGCAGTTATAATTGCTTGCTACATTTCTTCTGGTTAATTTATTGCTACAGCAGGAGTTTTCAAACAGAAAATTTTCTCCATCAGAAAAAATAATAAAGTCTAAAGAGTAGTAAAAATATTGATGCATAGGAAAAATTACTCACAATTGGTGTATAAGATGTTCAGAGGCAGGAGGACAGTGAGTCCAGTGCTGACTTGGTCTGCATAGAGAGTTCCAGGACAGACAGGATACATAGTGAGGCTCTGTCTAGAGAAAAACAAAAGAGTTCAATCCATCTTCAGCTTTTTTTTTTTTTTTTTTTTTTGAGGTTAGAGAGACAGCTGGTCAGTTAAGAGCACTTGCTGCTCTTACAGAGAATCTAGGTTCAGTACCCACATGGCAGCTCAGAGCTGCAAAAATTTACACACACACACACACACACACACACACACACACACACACAGTCTAAAATGGGGAAAGGCATTTATTATTTAAATATATATTTCACTGCATATTCTAGGTCCTAAGTGGTTGGCACAAACAGAAAAAGTCATTAACTTTGACTCAGCATATATGTGCCTAATACAGACTCATCACATGTTTTTGTGTGATTGCATGACATACTTTTCAATGATGTGGGAATTTAAAAGTTTCATTTTCTGAAGCTTCACAAGAATCTGTGATGTCAAGATTACTACGGTATCTCAAGCTGGACAAAGGGCTTCTGGGCAAGTGACCCTTACAAACTGGGGCCATTTTGAATTTGTTCATCAATCCTCAACAAAAGTCCCTCATCCTGATTCAGAAATTTCCAATTTGTGGTGTGTCTGGTTTTCTGAGATCTCTGGATATATTCCTCCACCCTCTCTACAGTCTGTCTGACAAGGGGATGATTCGCTCACCTTTCCATTTAGCAAGCAAACCTTCACGTCTCCTAGCTCCAAGTGGATGGTTTTCAGTATTTCAGTTTTGGTTGGCTGGTTCAGAAACAAAAAAAACCAAACCCCAAAAGTAATCAGAAACAAACAAACAAACAAACAAACAAATAGTAAGAGCTTCTCTAGGCCCTAAACAAAAATTTAAGATGTGTTTCTTCTCTCACTAAATTAGTTCCCATCAAAAATTTTCTTCCCATTCTTAATTGGTATCCATTTCTCAGTTGTTCCGTTCACTGATCTATCATACCCTTATTTTCAGTCAAAACAGTATGGTTAATGAGCTTGATGCAAAGGTAGGCACAACTCACATATTTTCTTTCAGCTCAGCTAGCATTAATAGGTTGTGACAGAATTGTCAATCACAGCACTATAACGGGTTTGTATGGACAATCCTGTTTGGAAGAGAAACACACTACTAAAAATACATGGAGGCCAAAACGTCACAAATAAAACAAGTTTTTTTTTTTTTTTTGTTATACAGAATGTCCCCTTCAAATCTTTGCTTGACACAGAACAGGACATTCCTTCTCAGAAGGTGACTTCTCATTTGTTTAAGAAAAAACCCAGAAAAGAATGTGCACATTCACTGGCGGTTTGTGCCTGTTCTGATTCTTAAATAATGAGGCTGTACAGTTTATTTCTGGAAAACAAGGGGATGCTTGACATGAAACATTTTAAAGCCATTTCTATTATGATTTTTTTTTATTGTTTTTGACCTTTACAGATACACCGAGGAGTTAAAGGATTTGTCCGTGACCTTCAAGGTAACCCAATTGCCAATGCAACCATCTCCGTGGATGGGATAGACCACGATGTTACTTCGGGTGGGTTTTTTTCATTATTATTATTATTATTATTATTATTATTATTATTATTATTATTATTATTTACCTTGATCTGGAGGCAAGCACTATGAAAATGAACACAACTACTAATTATTGTAATTATAATTATATACTAATTCTAAGCATAGCAGTTAGTTGGCTCATCTGCCTTTTCACCCTCTGGGCCCCCCTCCGTGTTGTTTGTGAAAGTAAACAATAAAACCCAGGGAGTCTGTGGCTTGTAGAAATCTCAAGCCAGCAGGTGGCGCCCTTTCCCTAGAGTGGGCGGTCATATGTCTGCAGCCCTGCCTTGCTGTTGGGAGCTGTGGAGGTTAAACTCCCAGCATTTGGGAGTATCCCGAATGTGTTTCTGTTAAGCTCACTTTACTTTAACCATCACCCACTCAGAATCCTTCAGCCAGATAACAAAGGAACAAGAACACTCTTCTTGGTCCTTAGAACTACTTAACTTTTATTCTCAAAACCTCATTGTCCTGTAAAATTCATTTACACATTTATTTAACAATGTTCATCGCTATCCCACCAAGTCTTGGGATGCTTTTCAGCCAGCATTCTAGAAGCCATGCCAGTATCCTACTCTCCTGCCTCCATGGCAAGGATAGGGCTCAAGCCTGGTGCCCTCTGGCCACAGGATATCTATTCTGTTAACTCCGAAAATACTATTTACTCTGCACTCCACGATGTAAAACTGGGGAAGGGGGGAATCTAACATAGGGAATAATTCCTAGAAAGGAATGAAACAGAGGATTTGTAAGTGTTACAGCTTTGATGGGAAAGTTTCCCCTAATAAAATATTGCATCCCTGAAGGGAGACCCTCCCCCAACCCAAACTCTAAAGGGAGAGGTATCCCCAATGCAAGTGTTAGCTCTCTGAGGGGAGAGGTTTCTCCAATGCAAGGGTTAGCTCTCTGAGGGAAGAGGTTTCTCCAATGCAAGGGTTAGCTCTCTGTGGGGAGAGATTTTCTCTAATAAGTGTCACAGTTCTGAAGGGAAAGGTATCCTGGCAGTCTGGAGCCAAGAATACCACAGTCACACCATGCGACAAACTTCACACAAGAAGAGATTTATTGAGAGTGACACAAAAGGGTGACTGCCTCTGCTTGGTGAGAAGCAAAAGGGAACTGACCAGGACACAGGCTTTTTTATGGAGGGAGAAGTTTTCCAGGGTGGAGATATCCAGGGTTGGGATTGGTGAGATTTCAAGTCCTGAGCTTGAGGCAAGCCCAGGGATTTGGTGGAATTTCCAGCTCAGGGATTGGTGGATTTTGGTGGGTTTTGAAGCCTGAAGGTGAGCTTGGATCTTTTATTCTACTGTTTGGGCTTCAGGAATAGTGTCCTTTTGAGGCTATGGACATATGAAGGAATGAGAAATGAACCCTAACATAGAAAGTAAGGTGTGTTGTTCTGGAAGCCCAGAGATGTCTCAAGAAGGAGAGAGAATGGTCAATGATGTCCAGTGATTGGCCTTGTGAGTGAATCATTGGATTTGGCAGCGTGGAGACTCTTGACCAAATTTCTATTAACAAAGTGGGTGGAGTGAGTAGAGTTGGTCAAGGCAAGACTAGGCATAGAGCCTTGAGTGATGGAAAATATTCACATTTTAGTGACATGTTTCTGTAAAGCACAATTATCAATGCATCACTGACAGAAAGGAGATATTGGGCATGCCGGAAGATAAGGAGTTAGGGGATAAGGGATTTTTAGGGTTTTTTTTTCTGGCTGCTTTTTTTTTTTTAATGATAAAATGCCTTGTAGAGCACCAACTGAGAGTAAGGATAAGGGGGGTGTTTTAAAGGCCCAAACTCTTACCCATGCTACTCCCGATATGACCAGAAGACTCATGTATGATAAGGTTTATTAAATATTTAGCATGGGTGTCTCTGATCTAGCACTAAGACATGAGGCTTGTGGGAAGGTGCTTGTCCTCTTTCCCCTAGAATTTCATCAGAGTAGGGACTTGGTGAAAGTCAAGCAAGCTAATGATGTTGTTGTGACTACCACCATGTGACTACCCTTTCACATGTGTGCCTGGCTTTGATGCTCTGTTCCCTGCAGCCAAGGATGGGGATTACTGGCGATTGCTTGCGCCCGGAAACTACAAACTTACAGCTTCAGCTCCTGGCTACCTGGCAATAACAAAGAAAGTGGCAGTTCCTTTCAAGCCTGCTGTTGCGGTGAGTAGTCATGGAAGTAGCTGAGAATATAATCCTAATTGATCTAATAATAACTTAGCACTTGCCACGGTCAATCATATTTAATCTTTACTCTAGCCCTATAAGGTAGGCACCACTATTATATTCCCATTTAACAAATGGAGGTCTAATAAGGTGAGGTGGCTGGCTTGGTCATGGTCTCTGGCTTCTTGAAGAGTCTCATAAGAACACAAAACAATACCTAAAACATTAATTTTAACTTTCTAACTTTGATTTCAATATAAATGGGGTTCTGTTCCAATCAGCTTTCTATCTGAAACATCCAGCACAGTGCCTTACTCAAAACATATTAGAGAAAATGCCAGTAAGATAATCGTAGGCATTAACTAACATCTCTTAGGAATACTTGATGAGGTGTGGGGAGATGACTCAGCAGGAAAACACTTGCTCCCCACGTGTGAATACCAGAGTAAACAAACCCAGATCCCAGAGTAAACAATACCAGATCCACAAACCCAAGAGAGCCATGGCAGCCATCTAGGATCCATTGCCAGACGACATGGCAACCCACCTGGAATCGAGTGCTTTGAAGGAAGAGATGGGGGACCCTCAGTAAGCTACCAGCTAGCACATTCTAACATGAAAAACAAAAATCCAGAGACAGATATTGGGGTTCTTCAGGCTGAAAATCAGAAAAGCAAAGCAGCCAAGCAGCCAAGCCACTAGTTGTTACCTCTACCCCAGGCTGAAAGGGCTGATCCTGTCTCAATGATCTCTCACCAAGCCTCATACCAAGCCTCTCCTCAGCATGCTGGAGAATCAATGTCTTCTTATCCTCAGTATGGCTAGAGAATAATGCTAGCTCTGAGACCATGTTCCTATCTTAAATACCTTTCATGAGTCCTGGGATTAAAGCCATGAGCTCTGTTATTGTTTTAGACTGATTCAATCTCGTGTAGCCCTGGATAGCCTTGAACTCAGAGAAATCCATCTGCCCCTGTTTATGAGTCCTGGGATTAAAGGTATGTTCTCCCACTGACTTGTTTCTATGGCTAACTGGTATGGCTGCTTTGATATTTTGATCTCCAGTGGCTTTAATAAATCATAAATAAAATATCAGCACAGCACAGCAGTTAACTCTGGATCCTGCCCTAGTGAATAAGGTGGAGAACAACAGAAGACTGCTGATGTCAACATCAGGACCATATGGTAGCCTGCAGAATTTCCAATAAAAAGGCTGGCTGGAGGGAACTTCACTGTAGTTTTGTTTATACATCAGGGATTCATGCATGTGAGCACATGTGCACTTGTATATACTTGAAACATGTATGCACACATGCACACAGGACTACAAATACAGGAATACAAAAAAGAGAGAGAAAAAATATACAGTGAGCTGAATACTTCAGAAAGTATGTTTCCATTTTCTTTTGGCAGGTGTAGGTGGTGTTTCTGTGGCAGGGCAGGGTAGAAGGAAGCGAACATCTGAATGTGTGTGATGTGTGTGCATTCATGGAGATCCCCAAAGTTGACACTGAGTGTCCTCAATTGCTCTTCACTTTATTCCATGAGGCAGTGTCTCTCACTGAACTGGAGCTTGCCAATTCTGTCTATTCTAGTTTAGCATCTTCCCCAGAGATCTCCTGTCTCTTGTCTTCCAAGTGCTGGAATTACAGGTAGCCCTCACACTTGTGTGGCTTTTTGTGGACTCCTGGGATCTGAACACTTTTTATGCATGCATAGCAAGGGCTTTATCCACCCAATCATCTCCCTAGTCCATCACAAAGTGTTTTCAATTAATTTTGTCAGGAAAATGATGGCAATATCCATATTTCTCTGGGATCAGAATTCCACTACCATTTTATATTATATGATTGGGACCATGAGAATTTCCAATGGAAATATGTGCTTGAGGAAACATCACTGTAATTTTGTTTGTATACTGGGAATTCAGAGATAAATAACTCTTTTGTGTGTGTGCTGTGTGGTGCAGCCATATAACTATGCCTCAGACTTGCTGAGCAATGGCTCCTACCACTGAACTGGCCTCCCACCTCCAAACACTTGTTTTTCCAAACAAATGATCTTGAGTTTTGAAAATGGTTTATTATATTTGATTGCATGTACATGAGGCTGTGAAACCTGGAAACAGGGTAGCCCTAGGCACAGACTAGGAAAGGTTCAATTCTTTTCCTCCCTAGTTTTTCAAATAGTCTGAGGATGTAGTGAGCAAAAGTTTACAGAACCAATAAGCAGGTACTGAAGTAGGCATATACGTAAGATTCCTAAGTAGGAACACTTAGTTCCGTGTAAGACAGGAGATGCAGGAGAACTGGGTGGGGTCTGTGAGTGGATCCTCATCTATGTGTGCAAGTTCTCCATAGACCAGAAAGGTCTCTTTAACAAAATTCATGATGTGAAAAACAGCACTTTGTGGACAAGTCACCAGCACACTGAGCTGTATTCTATTAGGTCAAACCCGAAGCAGGACAAAATTCAAGGCTGTTGGGCAGAGTTTGTGAGATAAAGGGCTATCCTCAAGGTGGAGAGGGTGGGTATGGGTTTTATGAAACTATAGCTGTTTTGAAGCTATTACATTTTGGCACATTCCAAGCAGAACAGACTTCTGAATTTTGTTCCTATAAAAGCATATTTTGTTTATTATAGATAAAAAATCTCCTTTAATTTGGGTGACTGGATTGAATTTGTTCTACTGTATATGCTATAAACTGCCTTCTTAGTTATATAAGTGATTTTATAGCAATTTGTTATGGATTTTCTTCTTCAGGTTGACTTTGAGCTGGAGTCGTTCTCTGAAAGGAAAGAGGAGGAGAAGGAAGAATTGATGGAGTGGTGGAAAATGATGTCAGAAACTTTAAATTTTTAAGAAAGGCTTCTAACTAATCGCTTTAATCTATCTATATAACGTAGTGAGATGCAATGTGGCTCTTTTATTTTAGATTGTGTGCAGTTAATATTTAACACTGATTTACTTTAAATCATTTAAGTAGTAATTGATATTACTTAAATATACTCAGACAAAAAACATAAGGTCTCGATCTACTTCAGTCTCATTAGCATTTGCCTCCCCACATAGCTTTAAAATATAGCTCTTTTAATTTCATTGGTGACAATGTCCCATGAAAAAGCCAACAGATGTAGCCTGGAGTTGTGAGCACTGCACTGCAAGAATTACATAGTTCTGTATCAGTTGTCATTTGTCTCTCGTGCTGACTCGCTGTATAAGCATGATCTTGTTAATGCACTTCTGCTGGGAAGAAAATGTACGTGTTTCAAAATGGCTTTAGGCAGAACGAAAACCTACTTCTGGACTGTACTTTATAAAGAGTGGTCTTGTCTTATTAGTCAGCCTGTTAAGGCCAGTCCAGAGTTTGGGGTTTTGTATTGATTGCAGATTGGCCCAGAATTGCATTGTGAATGAATAAAGGTTAAAAAATTCCATGATGCTCTTGTTCTCTATGATTTTTTCTTGTCTAATATTATGGTTTCATGGTGAAAAAGCATTTCCTTCACCATGGTTTCTTGCTTCACTTTTACATTGAAAAAAGTTCACACCAAGCAGTGTGCAGGCTTTGAGTACCTTATCGTACTCAAAGGTTCTGATTCCATGGAGTTTAACAAAAAAGATTTTATTTTTATATTTAATTATGTCTGCATGTATGTGGCTGTGTGTGGGTTTGTGCACCTTAATGCCTTACAAAGGTGAGGGCTTCAGATTTCCTGATGCTAGAGTTGCAGGTGGCTGTGGGCCTCCCAGCACCTGTGTTGGGAAGCAAGCCACTCTGCTTCTCCTGAGAACAACATGCACTTTTCACTGCTGAGCCATCATCACTCAAGCCTGCTGAGTCTATGGATCTTAATGGACCTGCTGTGGACACGGACTTTAAATGAATATATACACAGTTATTGTGTAAGTGTGTGTTGTTAGGAGGAAAATGAAAGAATATGGAGAGAAGGAATGGCTGAGCATCCTAGATGAGACTGGATGAAAGGAGTTAGCGATGGTCTCTTACTGTATACAAACTCAGGCTTACAAGATGTAAGATCAATGTGGAGACTGAGTATAAGAGTGTGTGTTTTTGCCATGTGTGGGGCTGCTGGCAGTTCTGGTGTGATTGTCTAATGCTCCAGATAGAAGGGTTGTGTTAAAATAACAGCAACTGTTATTTGGGGCGCAAGAACCCCAATACTCGGTAGTTTACACAAACCAAAGGTGTGTTTAATGCTTGTTAAACTGTTCTAAACTAAGCAGAAGACAAAAATGAGGTAGCTTTCTTCCACACTGTCTGAGACCATAGTCCATGACCCATTCTTGTGGAAGACATGCCATCATCTTGGGGTGTCTATCCAAGTTGCATTGGCAGTCTTCTTCAGCATAGCCACTGGGAAAGGAGAAAACAGGCCTGGGACTGCTATACACTGATTAAATGACATGGTCTAGAGTTGCATTCCTAACTGCAAGGGAATCTTGGAAATGTAGTCCAGAAGTATAACTAGAGAGGTGAGAAGGCATATATGCTACACATTGTTTTGAATTATATTCCTAACTGCAAAGGAGCCTGGGAAATGTCACCTAGCAGTATTACTAAAGAGGTGAGGAGAATGCAGACTGGGTGAACATCTAACAGTCTGTAAGTTGAATGGCCCCACAGATAAAAGAGCATGACAATAGGAAAGAATGGCATTTTTGATGGACTTACCAAACAGAATGCCTGTAGCAAAGAGATGTGGGTGGTGGGAAGTAGAGCCCGGGAGACAGGTGATCTTTCAGAGCAGAACTGAAGATTTGGTATTTTTATCTTAACTGAATAGTCTTTAACTTGGAAGGAAGATGACCTAGTTTATACTTTAAAGACCATTTTGGCTACTGGGTTGCAAATAGAAGAAAGAACAGAGGCCAGGTAGGAGTCTACTGCAGGGATCCAGAAGAAGTGACTTGGGTATGGTTGTGAGAGTAAAGATGAGACATGGGTGGGTTTGTAAGTAGCATGATGTGTTTTGTAAGTAGCACTGACAGGTCTTAATGAAGAATCGGGATGAATAGTGAGGGAGATGGTGGTTGTTAGAGATGACTTGATGCTTGAGCAATTCGGTACTCATTATGTGGCCTAGTGAAAAGAAACAGATTGGGGACTGTGAGACGTAAGCAACTTCAATGTAGGAGATGTCAAGTTCGCGACGATAGACAAATGGAGGTGCTGTGTGGGTGACTGGGCTTTCCATGTTTAAAGTTTCCAAAAAAGATTTGAGAGTCGAGATGGAAATATGGACATGACTGGCATGGGCTCATAACTTAATCATCCAGATTGGGACGCTAGAGAATGCAGAGAGCACACTAATTATGTCCAGACAATTGGAGTAGTTCAGAGCTCTCTGGGTAATCTGTGGTACTATTGTACTCATGTTAGCACTATGCAAATAATTTCTAAAACCATTCAGGTACATATAATCTTCCAGGAGGAGCCCTTAGAGTTAGAAAAAAATAGGACTGAACCCTAAGGAAATTCAGGATTCTACTGCTCATGGTTTCCATATAACACAAGACAGTTTTGGCCATGTCTAGCTGAACCAAATGCAGAAAACCACACATCCATCTCTGCCCCTGGAGACCAGGTGGAACAGTCACTCATATACAAGGAGCTGGGAGTTGATTCTTGGTGATCTTCTATCATTTGGGGTGCTCAAGAATATCACTTGGACACAAATAATTTTTGGACACAGGATTTGTTTATGTACTCGTATACATACACAGATAAACATACATATATATGTATGTACATTCTCTAGACTGGCCTTACTATCTAACCCAAGATGGCCTTGACCAATCTCAAAGCAATCCTCCTGCCACACCTCCTGAGTGCTGGGATTATAGATGTGAGCCACCATGCCTGACTTCATGGTTGAGGTCTTAATGTCTTTCAGTTTTACCTAATGTGAGATATATTGTGTGTGGTTGGGAGGAAACTGCTTTCCCTGGTTTCATGACACTGTGGTGAAGTAGCTACACTGGAATGAGACACCCAGCCTTCAGTCCTAACCCTCACTCATTCCTTGAGAAGTTGCTTATCCAATTGCTAGGAAACACCGGGTATGCTAATCAAGTGGAACAAGTTTATTCAAGGCCTGAAGCACTTCTGTCTCCCTTTCCTTCCTAGGAAAGCTAGTGTAAGCTTTGGGTACTTGTGTGGTATGGTGAAAGAGGCCGATGAGCACTGAGAATTACTAGGGTTATTGGTAGAGCTAACAATTTCCTTAAATAATTTATCAGGAAGAAAGTTGTGCTGCTATCCATCTAGTCTATTTTCCAGCTGGTTCTAAATGAAGGAATGGAAGAGATAGGTCTTACGTGTTCATCCCCTAACCTCCTCAGGGATATAATACTTAGTGGTTTTTGCATCACTCTTTTTTTCAGAAGATATTTGGTGTGGTTTTTAATAGAAGGTTGAAGCAGGCAAGGGCACTGGAGACATAAGTGAAGGGTTATACCCATGTGGGTTAAAAACAGCCAAGTTATGTTGCTCTAGGTAACAAAAATCAGAAAGGGAGGGGCCTGGGAAGTTGATTTTAATTCAATGACACATTTTGAACTTCCTTTTCTCATGGACAATGAAAACCAGACACATCACTGTGCAGGGAATGGCTACATAGACTGATTTCCAGTTCTTGACATAAACAAAGAGAAACATTATTTGCAGAGACAGAACTCTGAACTTTGGTATTCATATTTTATTTATACAGACAGTCTCTGAAATCTTCCCATGATTTCATGTGGGAAGCTAAAAAAGAAAAAAAAAAAAACATCATTTAATCCAGCATGTTGCTCAGCTTGTCTTTTCAAGGTTCTCAGGAGGATCATCTTCTGCAGTCACATTTGGATGGCATTTGGTATTTCTGCCTCAAAAATGTCAAGACAGAAGGTTCCTTGACTTTCATGTCTCACCTTGAAAAACACGACATCCTGATTCAGATATTTTAAACTAAACGGCAGTCTAGGTCTTTATAAATGCTCCAATTCCTTCCTCCACTGCTCCCCCACTTCCCACCCACCCGTTCTCCCTCCCTTCCTTCTAGATGATTGCTGTGTGTATGAATTGACTCAATTATGATTTGAGTTTCCAGGGTAGTGTTATATGTTTTTTATGTGCTTAATTTATATCACTACAAAATTCCCCAGGAATCTGTGTTTGTAAAACATGGCAAATATCTGGCTTATTTGGGGTAAAAGCCACCAGAGTGATACAAGCTGATACTGGATATAATCTGTAATAGTGACTCTGGTGAGAAAACTCACATTGGTGAAATCTGTTGAAAGTTTTCCTGATGTCAGGTACTACAAGAGTCTGAAATTGTGAAAGGATCATACAGTTTTATCTTCTTTATGATTTTAAGCTACTTTGGCTCTTTTTGTATTTTCTTTTCCCTGTTCATCCCCTGCTTTTGAAGATTCATCCAGTAATTACTAGGTGCTGAGTTCTCTTCTTGGAATCAGAAAATCATTTTGTCCTGTTCTGAGATATTACAACCATAACTATGAATGTCATCATCGCCCTTACTATCATCACTGTAAACATCCTCACAGTCTCAGCCATCCTCACCACTATCGCTGTCACCCACATCTCTATTATCATCTCAGCCATCCTCAGCACCATCACTGTCACCCACATCTCTGTTATCACCACCACCATACTCATCACCATCACCATCATATCCATCTCCATTATCACCACCACCATCACTGCCATCACCATAACTGGGAGCATCCTTGTGAGCATCCAGCTCTGCCTGTCACTGTCCTCACTGTCTCTACGTTCTTCACCATTACTGAGTAGGTATCTTGTGCCACATTCCACATTGAGCACTGAAGTACACTCTTTTCAGACCACATTTTATGGTAAGAACTCTGTCAGTATTCTCATGTAACCAATGAAGAGAATGATCTAGAGCTTCGAGTGAAGTCGCTCACCTCAGTCAGCTGGTAAATAGCAGTACCAGATTAAAAGTCCCATCAGCCTGACTCTGAACTCACCCTGGTTTGCTTACTTGGCATGACCTAGAAATTCTGATTTTCTACTCAATGTATCCAGCTGACATTTTCACAGATGCCAATGGGTATACTCTGGCTTCAGGCAACCCCTTATTACCTATTCTGAAAGATGTGTTAAGAACTCCATTTAAGTAGGTGCAATGTCTTTATCATAGCTTTCATATCAAGAGGATTTCTGTGAGTCTAATTAGCTCAACCAATTTCCCAGTGGAAATGATAATGTTTGGCACAGATGTTTGAAGACAGACATGTTTCAGGATTTACCAGGGCAGGCCAGGCATTTATATCATCCCAAGAAAGGAACACCCAGCACTGTACCCTCCTACTGTCTCCCAGCTTCCCAATGAGGGAAGGGATTTC